CGCTACTCTTTGAATCTTGGTGGCCATGTGACTGGTTGTGACAAATAGAGTGTGACAGGGGGAATAATGTACATATGCTAAGCCTTCAGAAGGCCTTCAAGCTTCTACTCTTTCTACTCTTGGGGAACCTGTGATCACCTCTATGGGAACAAGCCCAAGCTAGCCTAGTGAAGGATAAGAGACCTGTGGCTCAATTACCTACATCACTCCAGCCGACAACTGAACAGCAAGACATGTGAGACCATTGGTCATGAGTTGACCACAGACACAGGAGTGAGTCTAACTGAGAGCAACACAGAAATCACTTATTGGATCCACAGAATTGTTTCTGTGTTTTTTGTTGGCAATGAAGTAAAAGATAACTGACACACCTTATATATCCCCTGTTGTGAAAATAAGCATAACAAGCCCAACACGGAGCTGACCTGTTTTTTCCCTTTTGTGTCAGCTAAAGGAGAGCGAGGGCCCAGCTCCTTCCGGGGGTGCTTGGTGAAGGAGTGGCACTGTAAGAGAGTCTGTAAGCCTGTATTCGGGCACAGATAGGTATACTGTGAGGCCCCAAGTAACCTAGAGAGTGCTGAGGGTGCTGGGTCAGGAAGCAGAGTTGGGTATCTTCTCATGAAGCAGCAGGGGAAGGGGCATTCCCACCTGGTACTCAAAGTCCCAGGACCCAGTGTGCCCTCAGCTTAGACCTTGCTGACGTAATCTCCTTACCCAGACATATTCCAGGGTCTCCTTTTGGGCCCACTTCTCCTGGTAACCCAGGAGCCCCTGAGATTCCTTGAGGCCCCAACTTTCCAGGAGGGCCCTGCAAGCCTCTGAGTCCTTGCCCTGTTGGAAGACAAAATAAACATAAATCAATATCTGTGTTTTTGCTCTGTTTCTCCAAGTGTTTGAGGCCTAATCCCTTCCCGGGAAGAAGAAGACATTAACCCAGGACTAACTTTTCTAAGCCACTACTTCCAATGACCCAGAGAAGGAAATCTATGTCCCATGGGATAGCCTGCCTTGAGGGCCAATTCCCTGAGCAAGCAAAACAACCACATGTCACTAACTCCTGTGTAAAAGTCTGGGATGCCAAAGAGTCATAACTGTATATGTTTTGAATTATAATATGTAATTGAGAGAAATACACCCTATACAAATAGGACATTACTCTCCTCACATCCCCAGGCAATTTTGTCTGGAAAGTAAAGAGTTACAGAAATAGAACAGCTTAAGCTGTACCTGGTTCTCCCTTTTCTCCCTTGGCACCATCACGTCCATCTTTGCCTGGGAAGCCATTGATGCCTGGAGAACCACAGGTGATCACAGGGCAGGTCTTTTGGAGGTTCTCCCAGGTTTCTGCTTCTGTGCAAGATGCTGTCACCACACTCAGGAGAAGGAAAGGAAGCGATGGAAATAGGGACATAGTCCTCACCTTGGTGTATGAAAAATCAGGGAAAATTATCTCATCTTGTTCAGTTAATCAACATATATTTACCAAAAATTCCCTCTGTCCTATTACCTATACTGGGCAGAGGCAATGAAGAGACGGATGACCCATTCCTACATCCAGACTGGGGATTTGGAAAAGTAAGTCTTCCTTCTGACATTATGTGATTAGTACTTTAACAGAGATAGGTACAACAACATGCAGTGGGGGAACTAGGGAGCAGGTCACGAGTGCCCAGGCCTCTGGTATTATCACTAGAGGTTGTGAGTATGCTTCCCATGGCATTTGTGAGAGGAAATAGGCCTACGCATTGCCAGCAGCACATTCATGCCCGTTAGCTTGGTGTGGGGGCGGGGGTGAATGGAGACCTAGGAATGTGTAAAAGTTCCTTCTCTCCCCAGCTTTCCCCTTTGGGCCCATCTACTGCCTACATCCCATCCTCATATCTGTGCAGACCACTGTCATCCAGGACCAGTTAACCATAATTGGCTGAATGGCAGGCACTAAGCTGCAGACCGGTGATCCAGAGAGGAAGGATCACTACTAGTCATTAACTCAGCATGGAATTAACTCGAGTTTGCTTCTTCCTGAGGTTTTATTTCTCATTGCAAGAGAGACTAACCAAGGGTAGAATTTTCTCTGGAAATTTTTCACTACCTCAGCCCTGGCAGGGTGACAGATCCCTTTCTAGTTCCTGACAGGAATCCCCTGTGTTCTGTGAGTCAGAAACACTGGCCATCAGACCATCTTCTTGACTCCCCTTCCTATTTCTCAATCTTAGCATTTCATGTGTCCTTCAAAGCTGTCCTTCTTCAGGAAGCCTCAGTAGCCCAACTTCATGGGTCTGATTCTTTAAGGCTCTCTTCGAAAATGAAGGCAGTTCATTTGCAAATGGTTAGGTAAATCTAGGTAAGTTACAAGTGCCCTAGCATAAGCAGAGAGAGACACCTCCAACCCACCCACATGACTTCTGCCTGCCATCTCCCCACCTCCACCCACCAGAAAGCCTTCTCTAGACCTCCAAGGTCAAGTCAAATCCCTAGACAAATCTAGGACCCCAGATCTGTTCACCAGAAATGACTTACTGGGGCTTCTGCAGAGCGGAGATGAGGAGACAAGGAAGCTGACACTCCGGGCACAGGCTCTGGCAGATGCCTCAGGGTAAAGAAAGAGGCTGGACTTGGCAACTGCAGGGCCCAATCAGCCTGGCCCTCAACCCCAGATTAATAAACAACTCTTCTTAGTATTACACTAAACTTTTCTTAGCATTTCGCCAGAGGCTTCTGGCACAGTGTTTGGCAGCTGTTTGCTTTAATACCACACAAATCCTCCTTCGATTTGCCATTCATTTTGACATTTCTCATTGCTGAGCAACCATAAGTAGGTTCACATATACATCATGTTGAGATCATTATTTTCAACAGAGAAACATAAAGATACCTAGGAATACACCCACACTCTTGTGCACATCAACTGTACACACAGACATGTACACGGGCACACACAATCATCCACAGAAGCACAGCAGACCCCTTGCTGCCCTTAACACATCAAGAGCACTCTTGCCTCAGGCTCTACACTTGACATTCTCCCAGGCTGGACATCCTCTCCACTGTATCACTGCCTGGCTCTTCTATTCAAATATCCCTGTCTCAGAGAAACCTGTCTCAGCTATTTTATCTAAAGTAGTCCCACCTAGTCACTCTCTAAGCTCTTGGCTCCTGGGGTATTTTTTGTTTTTTGTTTTTTATTTATATTTTATGATATTACATTCTAGCCATTTGCTTCTTTCTTTCTTTCTTTCTTTCTTTCTTTCTTTCTTTCTTTCTTTCTTTCTTTCTTTCTTTCTTTCTTTCTTTCTTTCTTTTTATTTTTACTGTGGTAAAATATATATAACATTTTGTTTAACAATATTTACCATTTTGACCATCATTAGGTGTGCAATTTAGCAGCATTAAGTACATTCTCATTGTTGTGCAACCATGACCAATATCCATCTCCAGAACTTTTCATCATCTGTAACTAAAACTCTGTACTCATTAAACAATAATTTCCTATCCCTATCCTCTGGTTACTACTGTTCTACTTTTTGTCTCTATGAATTTAACTACTCTAGGTACCTATATTAGTGAAATTATATAACATTTGTCTTTTTGTGACTGGCTTATTTAATTTAGAATCTTTCTTTCTTTCTTTCTTTCTTTCTTTCTTTCTTTCTTTTTTTTTATTTTTACTGTGGTAAAATATATATAACATTTTGTTTAACAATATTTACCATTTTGACCATCATTAGGTGTGCAAGTTAGCAGCATTAAGTACATTTTCATTGTTGTGCAACCATAACCAATATCCATCTCCAGAACTTTTCATCATCTGTAACTAAAACTCTGTACTCATTAAACAATAATTTCCTATCCCTATCCTCTGGTTACTACTGTTCTACTTTTTGTCTCTATGAATTTGACTACTCTAGGTACCTATATTAGTGAAATTATATAACATTTGTCTTTTTGTGACTGGCTTATTTAATTTAGAATAATGTCTTCAAGATTCATCCATGTTGCAACATATAACAGAATGTCCTATTTTTTTTAAGGCTGAATATTATTCCATTATACGTAAATACCACATTTTGGAAGGTTTTTTTTGGCTTAATTTTTTTGGTTTATTTTTGGTTCATACAAGGTCTGCTTTTCGTCCCTTGGCTCTCCAGGAAAGATGTCTTCCAAACAGTAACTCAGGGATCCAGGCTGCATCTTATAGCCTCTGGAATAGGTAATTTCCAGATTGCTGAAGCTAAAAAGGAGAAAGCTGAGGCTGAGGGTAATGCAGCAACTCTGAAATATTTTGGCATGGAATTGACATCACTTCTTTTTAATGCTATTGTTCAGAACTAGTCACACATCCAAACTTAATTTCAAGGGAAGCTTGAAGATATAGAGGAACAGATGGAGATTTGGTGAGTACTAATTATTCCTAAAACAATTTAATAACAGCTTTTTTAAAACCCTGGCTCCAACTGAGAGCCTGATGTATGTTAAATGGGGGTTGGGGGACAGGGAGAGGTGGGGAGCAAAACTTCTCTGACTCTGGTGAATCCAGCTTCCAGAAGCCAGGCCAGGCCAGACCCTGGATTCAAGGTAGGACATGGAAAGTGCCAGCTCAGAATCTAGAAGTTTGGGTTCTGCACTATATTTCTATCAACCTTGGGCAAAGCCACTCTTCCATGGGCTTGCCTAATTAGCAAAATAAAGGTTTTGAGCCTGTTTTAGTAACTATGACTGTGCAACAAGTTGCCCCCAAACCTAAAACAATTATCATTTGTTATCTCTTATGGTTTCCATGGGTCAGGAATGCAGAAGTAGCTTGGCTGGGTGGTTCTGCCTCAGGGTCTCTTATCCATAGTTATCTGAAGGCATGATTAAGGCTGAGCATCTACCTGCCTGGTGGCTCATCACGTGGCTCGTGGGTTGGAGCTGGTTTCTGGCAAGGAGGTCTCACTATCTCTCTACGTGCCCTCTCCACAGCCACCGAGATGAAATCCACAGCCTTTAATACCTTGGGAGTTTCATTTTTAATAGTTAAAAAAAAAAAAAAAAGCTGGGAATAACCCAATTGTCCTTCAACAAGTAAATAGATAAATAAACTGTGGAAAACTCAGAAAAAACAAAAAACAAAAAACAAAAAAAGAATGCTGGTAAATAATGGTTAAATCTGAATAAGATTTGTATCTTATTGTTTTGTTCCAATGTCATTTTCCTGGTTTTGATACTTGTCCTATAATATGTTAGATCCTATCCTTGATGAATGATAGATGAGGTATATGTGAGACCTTTACTATTTACTCAACTTATATGTGAGACAAAAATTATTTCAAAAGAAAAATTTTCCAAAGGGAGTCTCAAGGAAATTGTGGCTATTCCAAACATTATCCCTGTTTCCTTCAGAGCTTTCTCCAAGTTTCTCAAGATGAATAGTCTGTTCAGTGGCTTGAAAGTGAGATAAAGTAGGCCACGTTCCCAATGCTAATGCTATTGTGACTGGGCTTTACAGTATGAGATCCAAGAGGTGAGAAATATTGCATCAACAGGTTGACAATAGAATTATAATTTTTGTAAGACTTTGGACCTCCTCCAAAGATTCATTAGAGGAATTTCAATAGAGGATAGCTGATCAGATTTGAATTTTCAAAGCTTGTTTTGACTACAGTGTGGGGAAAGATTGGAGGGGAGCAGGTATAGGAAAAATCAGACTTGCAAGGAGGTACTTCCTGTCAATTAAGCAGCAGATGATGATGGTCAGTCAGACTTAGGATAATGACAGATGGATCAAGAAGGTGGACACCTTTGAGAATATCTGCAGGATACATTTGGTGGAACTTGGGAATTTATGTGAAATGGTGAAAAGAAGAAGGAATTATTATAGACACAAGTTTCTGACTTGAATATCTGGGTGCCATTCAAATGAGATAAGAAATACGAGCAAAAAAACAATCGCGGGGGTGCTAATGGGCGTCTTGTGGGTAAATGGCTTGAACCATGTGATGGTGGTCAAGAGAGACAATCTAGAAGGAGTGGAACAATAATTTTATGAAGCACAGTGGAGTTAATTCTGAAGATTTCTAATAGAGCTGTCATACAATGTCATATTAGCTTAGGATGGTCTGGGAGCCCATCGTGGAAGCCTCATACAGATGTTGCAGAGACCTATAGTAAGGGTATTTATTATAGAGGCCTCCAAATACCAAAAGGAATGTGTATGAGATTCCCTGCATGAAAAATGTCCAAGGCTGTAGAGAACCACATGCCTAAAGCTAACGGAGACCAAGAGATCCAGGGCCTAAAAAGGGCTGTAGGCAACTTGTTCATCTCTCTTCCCTATTGTTTAGCAGCCAAACCTTCCTATGAATCCTTCTCCAAAGTGGCAGGAAGTGAAATGAGGTAGCTGAATCCAAGTCATGCTGGAGCTGTTGCTTTGATCACAGAGCTTACTTTTATTGAACACTTAGTCCAGAGGTCAGGAAGCTGCCCTATAGACACTGACCTTTCCTGGAACTGGGCTGGGAAGGGATGGGCATCTGAGTGGGAAGTCCGTTCAACTGTTGAGCCACTGCTCTGGGCGATGCCCAGCTATGAGTTCCTTCTGCTCTCCACGGTCTCCAACAGGCCTTTCACATATGAGACACCCCTCTTCACATGCATCAGCCCCCAATTACCAGCTCTACACTTTGCCTCAGAGATACAGCCACTGTGTGCATTCATTCTGGACCTGAAGTCCCTCCCAGAATTACCTCCTCTCTGGCACCTCCACCAGACATCCACCTCATTTCAAAAGGCTGCAGAGACACTCTCTGATGTGTAGGAGGACTGCCTGCCCCCCTAAACCCCTTATCCTCTAGCTGGGGCTGGAACTCCAGCTCTTTCACTTCCCAGCTGTGCGACCTTGGCCACGTTCCATCTCCTTCAGTTCCTCGATTTCTTCATCTGTGAACCAGGATTGCACTGTCTTGTCCATGCCATGGAATGCCCTTTTCTGGTCCACACTCAGTGCATGGCATGCAGCCCATTATGCCAGGGCCTTCATTACCTCCAGGATGACTTCACAATAGTCTTTTTGGGAAGCAGTGGTCTTGGGTGGTCCTTTTTGGGAGGTACGGCTTGAGATTTAGAGTCAGAGGCTTGGTTTGGTCTCATGACTGTGAGTTTAGACAAACCACCTATTCTGACTGAACCTTAGTTTTTATATCTATAAAATAAGATTTTGAACCCCGTTCTCTTTCCCACAGGGACATGCCGTAAGTGAAGACAGTGAATGGAAAGTGTCAGTGCTCTCCAGGCAAAGACCACCAGGAACATGCCTAACCTCAAATAAAGTGGATTTTTTTCTTACTTTTAGTTTTTAGATAAACAAGGATATTTTATACAATGGTGAGCCTTATGACTTTCCAGCAACAGGTTGTCAGGGTGGATTTTTATGGGATTTGGCCTTGTATTAGGTTATTTGGGGGGATGGTTTAACAAATGGGTGTCTATGCTGGAAAGGACACTGCCAAAAAGCCAGAGTATTTTATAACTGAGTTATTTTAATACATTTTATAAAAGAGGAGGGAAAATGGAACAATACAAAAATGTGTTTTATAATGAAGCA